ATGGTGCCAGGGTGACCCCAGCTCATCACCAGTCATCAACTCTTTTCCCCCATCACACCCCCCGCCTCCGAGTGTCTTTCAGACCTTTTCATAGCAGAAGTTTATGCTTTGCCCATCTATCTAGCAATTTCATGTTAAATTGTCACTTTGTTATTTCTGTTGAGGGTTTAACATCCTGGTATGATTAGCTGGAATAAGAACTGGGCTCAGAGAAGCAATTTCTCATTTAAAAAATAATGTGGAGCTGTGGTTTGTGGGGGTACAAAGTAGGTCTGCAAGGGCAGTAAGGATAAAGGCTCAGATCCTTCAGCGTGCAGGCTGCAGCAGAGGGAGGACTAGCCAGCTCCCTGCGGCACTCGAGCGAGATGTCTTGTGTGGCTGTTGAGAAATGCATTGCTTCCAGCTTCCACAGCCCTGCGGGAAGCTATCAGTGTTAAGACTCCTCTCTGAGGCACTGTGAGTGTTAAGCCAAATATCTTTCAGTAACTTGGTTATCATGTCTGGTAAGTCAGCGTATGTCAATTAGCTCCTCAGAGGAGTGAGATAGCCAAAACTCAGTGCATGCTCTTTTGTGCTAGCTAAGGGTCAGCCCCTTTTCCGCCAACAGCCGGCGTAGCAAACCTTGACTTTTAGCTGAAAGGACAGAAATGGTCAGTTCTTTCCACTGTTTCTTTTGCTGTTGGGACCAGTTTCTGCACTCCCACCATGGTGGCCATATCCTAACTTGGTCTCACCTCTGCCCCTCCTGCCAGCACGGTGCTCAAGCTGGTGATACAAAACTGTGTGTCGTAATGTGATGCAAAATTGGAACAGGGAGATGTACCTTCATGTGCCTTTAAGAATGGTTGCTGATGGTATTTGGCTGAAGCTAGGTATAGAGATTATGCAGGGGAAAAGTGGTTTTGACAAAATATGTTTGAAGCACCTGTTTTGTTTTACAGTCCTGTCATTCAAAGCAGGAGGGCTCAGACCTTTGTGGGACCTTTGTGGGCTTTCCCATCAACTTTCAGGATTGCTCAGCCTCTTCAGAGTCTGACGTGTCTTGACCACATACAGTTGACTTGCCCCCGTTGAGGGCTTTTAGAGACATGTTTGGAGGGCAGCCACATGACGACTGTGTTAGCTCATCTCCATATTCATACAGACCCAAGTGAAATGAGGCTCTTGAGCTTGTAAATGCCCCGGAAGACAGATAATAAAGAAATGCAACCCCAACTGTAACCAGTGTTTTTCTGATGCATTGACATTGTGTCAGAGCATAGGTGTAGTTATTTCCATGGGAGTTTCTTATGCTTTAGGTACCCTGAAATGTCTGTGCATTCCTGTAAAGGTATAACTTGAAGTTTACATAAAAGATTGGTGAATTTAACATGATTTTTAATACCGCCTATGCAACAGATAATGTTATCTAACATTTAAATAGCTGGAGAAACATGGTACACTTCTGTAAGATTGATTTGTTCAGTATTTAAAATCAGATTTATAAAATAAATGTGAGTAATGAGATTTGATCAATATGACAAAATGATATTAATAGAGTATTAATCTCTCTCCTGTGTTTCCAACAAATCACAGGTGCATGACTGCAGAGCAGCAGTTGCCATTTCAAACTGTGGTTTAATTGCTTTCATGAACTGCATATCGGAGCAGTTCTTGCACAGTTACGTGCTGCTATCAATAAAGCTTCAGATTCTTCAGAGAGGCAGGTGTTTTAGTGCATAACTTCGCATATAGATTTGATGTCTTGACATATAGTTAAAGATTGGATTATGGTAGTTGGCAGGACTGTCTTTAAAAAGAGATATAGAAGTAGGGTCTTGACATGAGGTTTAACCTGAGGTCGTATGATGTTCTTATGAAAATTGATTGATAAAAATATGGTTTTGAGTCAGACATCACAAATTTCACAGATTATAGGATTACACTGCTGTAATTGCTGTTGAAAAACTGCGTACAGCTGTCAGGTAAAACAAGAATTATTTGATGTCTGTATTTGGAGAAAGTATTGGAGCTGCTCAAAAATCTCACTATCCTGTCAGTAATTGAAGCATCTTGAAGAAACGTTCAGGCAAGTGAAAATAATATTCTAGCATTTCCCTCTTGAATACTTTTACAAGGTTTTCGAAATTATTCTTTCAAAGTGTTTGGAGGAACATGCAGTAGGGAGAGCACACAATAATTCACGTGCTGCTTCATATTTATGAAATGGTTGCACACTGAAGACTTTCAGTGCTACTTTCAAGCCTCTAGAAAAAAATACCAGTGAGTAATAACAGTATAGCAGGAAAAATAAACATTGAGAAATGTTTGTCCATTTAACAGAAAAACAGAAGTTTATCTACTTGAAAAATTATAGGACAGTTACCCTCTGATGTATCCCACTAATGAATTTACATATCGCTGTGAATCCCATTCTGAATTCGCTTTTTAATGTCAGAAGAAAGCCTGTTTACAAAAGGAGAGTAGAGAGTATGTAATGAGAGGCTGCAGTGAAGGTCCAGGATCAGATTTTCTTTTTTTTTTTCTATATGCAAGATTTTGAAGTAGTTTGTTAATAAAAACTTGTGGGTTTTTTCTTAGTTTTCTAATTTTCTATTACTTCATCCTATTTTGCTTAGCTTTTCTTTTTCTTTCTAAACGCTCTTCAAACCTGTTTTTCCCCATCTTTCCATTTGATGGACCTCTTGCTTCAGCTCCAAGCTGGTTTGTCCCTTTGCATCTGATTCTAATCTAGGGGCGAACACACATGCTGCTACAGTGTATGGAGAAAACAAAAGTTAAAGGCCATTGCTGTTGTCCATTATTAACATGATCTAACCTGCAGGCAACTGGTACAGTTACACTGAACCTCCTTTTCCCTCCCTTAAATGTTGGTTCAGGTGGGAGCGTATGGCAGATGTTTTGGGGTCATGGCAACATCTTCCAACACGATGACCCATGTTGCTTCCTCTGTGTGTCTTCTAATGAGATGTGATCGCATCAGCCTTTCAAGAAATAAGCTGAACTTGCCCCTTCTTAAAAGAGCTGCTGGAATGGTCGTACTCTTTCTGTAAACTATCACAGCCACAAGCTGTAGCCTCCTTATTAAATCTTCGTTAAGAGTTGCATATCCGGGAGCAAAGACGACAAAGAGGGGTGGGCATGATAGCATGTGGTGGTCTGGATTGTTGTTTTACTCTTTTCTGAAGGTATCTAGACTCCTTTGGTTGAGGTTAGGCGCACAACATCCTGCGTGACTTTTTTATGAGCAGATCAGAAAATGCAAAAAGCATGTTTTCCTGTGAGCAGGGGGATTTATGAGCACAAACCTGTGAGCCTTTATTTGCTGCTTGGTTTATCAGAGCTCCCCTGCCTGATGCTGGGGTAGTCACTCAACCTCTTGTCTGCAAAACATGGACGAGTTGTTCTCTTTTACTGGTTCTCTCTTGTAAATCCTATTTTATTTGCCTCACTGTAGTCTCATGAGGTTTACTGCAGAAATAACTATGAAGGGTCTAGAGACCAGTCATAGGAATTGATAGAATAAGAATTGGAGATGCAGTCTGTGGTCCTCAAGAAGAGCATCTAGGGCACCTCTGTGCATCTAGGCTGTTTCCTCAGAATGGGTGGGTTTGGCTTCCTTATGAAACGAGTGCTTCTAATTTGATCTTCAGTTTTCTGCTGTTGATAAGGCATACTTTCAAATGAGGATTAAAGAAAAGCCTATCCAGGGACTCAATTATATTTACTAATATAACGGCTAACAGCCTGGAAAGAAAAGTGCCCTATTTGTGAAAGAGATACAGCCGTCAAAGTGTGTAATGGTTTCATCTCTGTGAGTTTGGATGCAACAGAGTTTTCTGATACATGGATTCCTGCTCTTCACAGTTTCAGTACATTCTGGCTCATTATTAACTAAGACAAAGATTAATGCTTTTCTGCAAGTAAATTATGTTCCTAAGAAGGATCTAAATTCTTCTCAGATATGTGTATACAACGGTTTGCAGTTAACTCAGTTGAGAGCTTGGTGTATCTTGGTGAATGCACAGTCTAGATCAATATGTTTGGGACTGATATTGTGCTACGTATATTCATTTTACTGAAGTGATGCATAGGGTACGAACAAGGAGCAGGAGGCACCCATCTGTGTGAAATTATGCATTTCATTTCTGATGTGAGGTTAACACTATAAAGATTTGTCAGCATTTTTTTTTTACAGTGGGATATCAAAAATAATTGAAGCCACATCCCTCTTAGCTATATTTGCAAAATCCTAAATGTGGCTGTGCAAACACAGTGGGCTTCTGTTAATGTAATCCTTCTGGATGTACTGCAAATTGCTGATCAGAAGAGTCCTTCTGTTGGCATAGTCCGTGTTTCCATTTGGATGCTTTTCTGACATACCTATGTTAGCATAACGTCCATGTGAAAAGCTTGTGGGATTTGAATGTAATATTTTTCAAAATGTATGACTTCCCTGTGCAAAAGGTGGAGACCATGAAACACAGCATTACATTTCTAAATTAATACACACTTATTTATGATTCTGTGCTTGCTTAATTTTAATAGCAAAAGGATTTTTTTTTTTGCTCTACACTTCATAATGTGCAGTTCACCTACATTTTGAGCGAATGTGTTATCTTTTACAATTTTTTCACCTTCAAGAAGCTTAAAGTAAAAGTTTCCCCATCCCTAATCCTTAACATTGGAAGCTACAGGAAGGAGTAGTATGGAGAGACCCATAACAAGTCTGCATGAATCAGCCATTTAAAGGGAGATAAAAAGGAATTTAAAAACATAATGTTCTTTAAAAGTTCATTTTTCCATTCAGGCACATGCTTTAATAAAACTGAAACTAATTTTCGAATGAACATTTTGAGTACTCTGTTGAAATGTAAATTATGCCCAAGTTTGCTTGTATCTGTGCTAATTCTTTTACGTAATAGTATGGAGGTATCTAACTCATCTCTTTTTTTTTTTTTTTTTTTTTTTTTTTCTCCTTCCTCCTAGTTAGTGGTCTAATGACGCTTGGATTTGCAGGTGAGCTTTACTTCTAAAATTCAGATTTCTGTTTCTGTTGTGTTAATGGCAGCCATTTGAGAAGAGCTTCCATCCTATCTCATTTCAATTAGTCAACTATCATGCATTTTTTACAACTGGTCTTGACCATTGGCTGTATGAACAGAGAGTATTGTAGTGTTCTGTAAAGGCCAGTCTCAATAGTGATGGTAAAACTGTAGAATTGTTTATAATTTTGAACCCCTTTGGCCAGGGATTTAGACAAACTCTTGTGTTGTCAGATTGTTCCTGTCAAATGGCTCTATTGGAGCTTTTTCTGTAACCCTGAAAAGTATTGAAGTTCTAAAGAGAGCCAACCAAAACCACCAAGGCCATGGAAAATCCGTTTAAACACCCTGCTGGGAAGGGGCTGGAGTAAATTGTCAGTGCATATGATGTAATGGAGGAGAAACTTGTATTCTGTTGGATTTACAGGGTTATAAATCAAGTGATAGCTGGCTGTTTAGAATACCCTGCCAGGGAAGGCAGCTTTGTGTAACTTTTGTCAAAGCATCAATGCAGGATTTAAGTTGCCAGCTATGCAATTTTCGTATCTGGTTTAGAATTCTGCCCAGCTTTAGTGTTCGTCTGCAGATCTAGCTGTGGAAATTATAACATATAACTGCTGCAGCTGCAAGGTGAATTGGAGGGAATGCTTAAATAGACAGGGTCCATGCTATCATGTTAACTTCCCAAGGACAAAACTACATTGCTCCTTTTTTGTAACTTCCACCATTTCTATCACTGGTGATTAATTTTAATCCTGATTTTTTATTTTTTTTTTTTTTTTCTGACATGAATGAAGGCTTAGTGTCAGCTCTAAGAGCTCTGACAATCAGCTGTGATGAAGGAGGTGGGGTCGGGTCTCAGTGAGTTGGCTGTACTTCTGGAGAGGTCTGTGGTCTGTATGAAGTGGTAGGCTTAGAGTCTCAGGTGTGGCATAGGCTGTCCAGCTATGGGCCTGCTGCTCTTGGAAAGTGTGTGAAAGCAAAGTATTTCTGTGGTCAGATGTGACAGTTGTCTCTTGTTTGGCACGTGGCATCACCGAGTCAATGACTTCCTCAGCTTCCCCAGTTGGCCGCAGGAGCTGGAGTTAAATTGCAAGGTGCTCCTGCCCAGGCTCCAAGGGAGCCATCTCCTTCGTGGGTGAGATGATGTACAGTCAAGCCTGTTTTACAATCACGTACCCCATTTTGCATGGAGGCGTTCAAGATTCTGACTGACGGCTGGGTCATAATGTGAGGCCTGAAACCAGTCATCTTACCTTGGATTTTTTTGGACTAAATAATAAGGAACAGTGCCCTGTTGAGAGTGGGGGCTGCGCCTGACTTCTCACCACGTGAAGGCTCGCGCGCCTTTGACCTCACTTCACCTGGCAGCGTGTTTGGCTGTCACCACGCAAAACTAGAACTAACAGCTTTTTCCAGTGATGATGGGAACCTGCTCTCAAGAGTAACTAATAGAAGGAAAAGAAATACCTCCTTTCCCTGGTGTAAATAGGGTCTAAGTGAAAATGTAGGTTCAGAAGAAAAAGGTACAAGACCTGATTCTACTTAGACTTCCATTTTTTACGATTGAAAACGTCTGAAGTGGTCTCTTCTTCTTGGCTTTGTTCTTAAAAACAGCTGTTACCTCCAGAGTTCTCGGGAGGGTTGCCTGACACACAGGTTTGTTCGGGTTGCAGTTTTGTTCAGGTGAATCATTTTCTCAGATTGGTACTGCTGTAAAGAGAAGAAATCACAGTTTCTTTTCTGACTAGTTTAATTTAGACGTTTGTATTAAATATGTTGACATACAAATACTTATAGGTAATTTTTAATGTTCTAGAAAATGCATGCATTTTCAATGTAGAAGAACAATCAAATATTGGCAATTATAAAGGCAAAGCAAGACATACTTAACTACTTAAATCAAAACGCTTCAGCCTTATCAAAATCAAATGCTTTAGTTAGTCTGAATAGAATTTTTTTTTTTTTTTCAGAATTTTAGTTTTTAAGACGTATGAAAATACTACCTTTGTATTCCAATGCAGGTGTGGGCTGTATGACAAAACCCTTCGACTTTGACTGTAAATATTGAAGTACATTTACAGTCATATAGTTACTTGAATGGGATTCATCTGTGTAAGCCTGAGAAGTGCTTTCTACACTGGAGTGTACGATCAGTAACTCCAGTTAGCTTTTAACTAAAAGTGCAAATGGGCAGTAGTAAGTTAGTATGAGTAGAAGGTAAGTAAGATTAGAAAAGTGACTAGGTTCCTCTATGCTAGGTCTAAAAGATGATATTATATATGGTGACCTATAGTATTTTATACTAAGTTATGTTTTTAATAAATTTAAAGGTATAAAGGTAAAAGTAAAGGTCTATTTTATCTATTTTCTAAAATTTAGAAGTTTTTAAAAGTTTAGAAAGTTGAATGTCAGGTTTACAGCAATGTAAGTGGCAAGCAGAAATATGTGAAGAATTCTGAGTGATTTGTGGTGCTGCTATTTCAATGTTTGAGATTTAAGGTGCTCTCTGATTTTTACCTAGGTGCATGTCAGCAGACTAATCTCTGCAATGAATCTCTCATGTTGGAAAAGTTACCTGCCTGTGGGAAATCCTTTGAAGAGATGATGAAGAAAGTGGACTCTAAAAAATGGTGCAACCTGACAGAATTTATCATGTAAGAGTTAGTTTTGGTTTTGATAGTTCTCACATGATAATGGTGTTTGTCCTTTAGAAAAAGGATTACCTCAAATACCAAGAACATTGTAATGCCTACATCTCTAATGCATGTAACATGTTTGTGCTCCAGATAAATTGAAATCCTCCAGTATTTGGTTGCCAGTTGTAGAGAGCTAAGCTGTAGCTCTTGAGTCCCAGCAATACAGCCACATGTGCACAGAGTCCCAGCTCTTAACTCAAAGAGTGCACAGAATAGAGCACTTTAATAAGAACTAACCACTGGGCTAATCATTACTAGCTGCTATTGCTTTTTCCTCAGACAGTTGTGTTTATATTTAATCTGTATTTCTGTGCGTTTTAGACAAATGTTACTTAAATAATTTTTTTCCTGTGAAATCTCTAAAGCAGTGTGCTTTTAGAATCATGCTCTTCTGTTTTCTCTGCTGGTAGCAATGCAGTTCCCTCTGATTTCTTTTATTCAGTAAGATGACAGCAACGTTCCCTCAGGCACAGTTTCAGAAATCCCCTTCTTGTGTGAAATAGTATTCTACAAATGTAAAATGATTTGTCCTGTTGAAACTGCTGCAGTTTATTTCTTTCTCTGCCCGATAGCACGGAGAGAATGAGCACCACCCATTTTGTTTGGATGACTAAAATGCTGCAAGACTCACAGTAGTGAGGGCGGCATTTTTATTTCCTTATCTCTATTCCTGTTCTGTAGTTGCTGGAGGTATTTAAATATCTTTCTGTAAAGCTGCGCACTTCAAAATCTGCTCTGAAGGAAACTCACAAGGCTTGTGTAATTGGTGGCATTTTTGGCTTTGTGGAGCATCCGCTGCTTTAGAGCGTGTCTGCTGGTGCCTAATGCTTGGTTTTTGGAAGCGCTGAGTACCCTCTACACCGACTGAAATCAGAGGAAACTGCAGGTGTTAAGCACTTCAGAAAACGAGACTCAAGTGTCTGGTGTGGTGTGAGCCAGCCTGAATCAGAACATCTTCCTGGATTTGAAACTGTGCTGGTGCTGTTTCACAGACTGGCAGGGGAGCCACAAACTAGCTGCCACCATGTCTGTTACAGTGTCAATTAGCCCCAGATGTGTTCTTTTCTTAGGTGATCTTTGGTCTTGTCTCCTGTTTGGTATCACTTCACGTGATGCAAGATTTTTGCAGTCACCTAATGCGAGATTTTGACTAGCTGATTACCAATAGACGCGATAGATACCAAAATGTTGGACTGCTGTGCTATGTTGCAGCAGTGCCCAATGTTTCTCTTACCGCTGTCACCATTGTTGATAAAGTTTCATAATCTGACAGCATATTGACAACTTAGATGCTATTCCTTCTTAGTGCTTTTATTTGCACGCCTTAGGTGACTTTACAACTTTACAACCTTTTAAAAGGTAAGCTCTTAAAAATCGTGGCACTAGAGTGAAAGATGCATTCATGCAGCACTCCAACCGTGGGGAAGAAGAAGAGAAGGTAAGCCCTTCTTATCCAGCTGGCAGAGATTGTATCCAAATCTGACAAAGAAATGGCTGTATAAAAAGGAAAAGAAAATCCTTGCAATGCAGGTACTGCTAAATTTATTTGACCTATGACAATATCTGTACATTATAGGGCAATAATTTTGCAACTGATCTAGATAGAAATTGTTTTACTTATTTTGAATGAAGCACTGTAATTTTGCTCCATTTGATCTTCACTACAGTTTTATTATAATCACAAAACTGAGTTCTTTGCTAATATCTTGTTCATACTCATAAGTGTCCTCAATTAGTGGGACTACTTGCAGTAGATAAAGGTACCTACAGGAGTTAAAATATTAGACTGCCGTTGTTAATACAGGTGAAGAAGCAGGCAGCTTTTTGCAAGCCTTGTGCTAAAATTTCAAGAGTTAAATTTTTTGATGCAAGGTTTTTCCAAGATTTGGAGGTGACTGAGGTCTCTGAGTTCTCCTGACTTTCAACTAGAGTTAAGAGTCCACCTTGCTTTTACATTTTTACATAATGTACAGTTTTATAAAACTTCTTTCTATCACTTAGGTTTCAAGTTCTAGCTTAGGAGAGAGTAGAGGGAGGAATTTGTTTTGGAATTTATTTGCTGAATCGGGTATTAATCAAGCATCATCCATCTGACTACAAACTTATCTTAAGGGTTCATTGCACTGAAGAAACAGCACGTTTATATCCACCTTTAAGAATTTTACTTTGGAGAGCAGATATTGTAATTTGATGTCATATGTTACATAAGAAGCATATAGGCTAATTTCTTCCAGCTCATTGGAGGAACCCTGATGGATGGGACTAAAACACTTCTTTATTTGGAGTATTCCAACAAATTAATGAAAAAATGGTATTTCTAGCCATAGTCACTTAAGATTCAGATATTTAAACCTAGTAGTACTAGTTTACCCTGATTTTACATCTAGCCTCCAGCAGTAAAAATTAGTCAACCTGGATCAGATAGTGGGTTAAAACTGTGAGTTTTGTGTGAAGGAATCAGTTTCTTCATACAGGCATTTCTGCACAGAACTTCTTACTTACAGAGATCTTGGAAAATTTGGCTTTGTATCTTATATGAGAATGTAATTATTTATGGAAATCTGCTTCATTTCTAAACTCTTTGATTTATGGAGGATTTTTAGCTTTTCAGGCTAAATGGCTGTCCTTGGTTATGGGATTGTAAATAGCAATTATCTGCATTGCTTCACTGTTCGGGCAAACAGTTGTGAGAGAGATTTCAGTGACTTCAGTTTGCTGTGACTTAATTATACTGGAAGATTTTTCTGACAGCTCCTTTACTTATTTCTTAACTTTATTCTTAACAAACTTGTGTTCTTTCAAAAGCAGCCTTTGGACTGATTTTTAAACAGATGAGGCTCACATGTGTGGCAGCTGATACTGGAAACCAATATAAGAATTTTAACCTCCACAGCTGATCTTGATCTTGCTGGAAATGTGTAACAATCATATGAACCACAAAATTTCAGGTAAAGTTTTGCAGAAGCACTATTGGGAGAAAGTTTACCTATTAGTTTTCACATTTTTCTGTGAGGATTCATGCAGAAATTGGGATACAAATACTCTGGGTCAGATTGTCCAAAGGTATTTGAAAGCCTAAATATGATCAGGGATCCAAGTGAGAGTTTAAAGTATTTTAGGTCATTTAGACACTGTGGGTTTCGATGGCTCCTGCTTGGACATCAGAATATGAAGGACAACCAGAAATACCTTCAAAAACCAGCTGGAGACATTCATTGACATAAAAAGAGGGCATCAGCTGTTCACAGCTTTGCTGATGCTTTTAGGCTATTCAGGGGGAGCCCTGAAGATGAAAATGTGACTGAGTGTTTTAAATGACAGGAAATTATGGTACCTGGCAAGTGAGCAAGCAGAGAACGAAGTGTGGATGAAAGCTATGTAGGGAGTTAATGAAAGCAAATAGACTTTTTGTTCGCTTGAAGACTGGAGATTACAGAAAGCTTTTTTATTCTTAATGTGTAATATTTCTATTATTTTTTCATATATAGATCTAAACACTAACATATACAGTATATATCTCTGTATTTTATATATATAATAACGTATATATAATACGTAACATATATTTCTGTATTATATTCTTAATATTTAACAACAGTAGCTAAATATGTAAAGTCTACTACTGTCCACAAACTTAAGCTCCTTATTAATGATCAGATTTTTTCACGATGCTCTCTGTGATAAATCCTGGTGTGGTTGCAATGGGACTGTAGTTGAGAGGCCAGGTATGACTAATTCCTTAAGCAAGAGGCCAAATGAAGATGAGAGTACTCAGAGCTGTCTTACATGAACCTGAGAAAATGTTCCTCATCGTAGTGGTGTAGATTACTTTCTATTCTTAGCTAATATAAAGGTTTTCTAAATACTTCTAAGTAGATCCTGGAAACAATTTAGCTGGAACAAACAGTCTCTAAACAAATCTCCGTGTTTCTCCCTGCCCTAACCCCTATGGAAATAGGGGACTAAAATGTGCCTGTGCTGGTTCTCAGTGGCTCGTTAAGCTTTTGGCCTGCTCCTGAGGACCAATATCTCCTCGCTCTTCTGCATCCCAATTTTCCGAACGTTTCTGAGTGTGCTTACTAGCAGTTCAGTAATTTTGAGGCCAGAGTGGTCTGCACTGTTGAATACAGGCCACCCAATTGGCCCACTAGTCACTATTTAAAACCCTGTAAGAGTGAGCGAGTATCTTATGGGAAGGCATCAACTCTTCATTTAAAAGATATCAAATGAGTATTAATCCATTACATCTATAGACAGATTGTTCCAAAGGTTTCACAGTCAGAGGAAAATGTGTCTTATTTCTCATTGGTTTGCCTGACTCGAGTTCTCGGTGATTATACTTTCTTACATATTTCCCTGATTAAGTAAAATTCCTTCTGTTGTCAGAAATCCTTCTTTCCCAACCCAATTAAATACAAGCACTTCTAAGTCACCTTTCAATCACTTTTTTATTTTCTTTTTTTTTTTTTGTAAATTAAAATAAAACTTTTAAAGCCTGTCATGATAATGGATGTATTTCAGACTTCTTGAACCCTTTGCAAGTTTTGGCAGCTTTTCTTTTGGAGAGTGGATTCCCATCTAGAATTGAACATTTCGCCCAGCAGTAGTTTGCATAGTATTATGTACAGACTCCCTGTTTTTTCCTCTAAGCCTATTGGGTATTCAGCATTTTTCTTCTGCCAAAATATTTGTGTGTTGCATTGACACTCCTAGCTACCTAGTAATTCCAGGAGGATGCACTCCAAAAGCTGTACCTGATTTTAAGACCCTTTCAGGGTGACGTACATTATTTGTTTCTGGATCTATCATCTTGCATTCACCAGTGTTGAAGTGCATATGATAAGTCCACATTTGTAACTAATCCAAATCAGTCTAACTACACCAACATCTTCTACTCCTTTACTGTTTACTATGCTATTTGCATACTTAAGCAAAAATTATTTGTTTGCTTCACTTCG